GGAAAATCTTGCGGCAATGAGTAAAAAATTTTTTGTGTAGAAATTTCCGTGCGTTTTGTTGTTGTTTCTTTTTTTTCTTCTTCTTCTTCTTCTTCTTCTCTCTTTTCTTTTTTCAAATTTGTGCGTCTCGCTTCCATCCTAGTATCCATCACGCTTGAAAACAAGGTTCCTCGACAATTTTTCACTATTAGCGTGTAGCCATGCGTATTTTTCATTTTTCTCGATTATCATGATTCATCATCTCCTCGTTTAAATATGTTAAGATTGGTTTTTTTTTTTTTAATAATATCAGATGATTAAGGATTAATTAACATATAATTTTTTTTTCTCTTTCAATTTTGATTAAGTCAATTCTAATTCTTTTAACATTGTTACTATAATATATTCTTTTTCCCTAAATTAATTCTTTTCGATTAATTTTTTTTCTTTTGGATCATATATACACACATTTTTCTTTTCCACGTGTTTTGTAATTTGTATAACTATTTATATTAGACATCTGTTGTTACAATATATTTTATAAAGCTAAATTACAATGTAAATTATTTTACATTGCCTTGCGTCTTTCGATAATGTTGCGTTACACAAATTTTATAAATATTGCTTTAATAATTGGCCTCCATTATAGGAATCATTGAGTAGATCAACTCTTAAACCATTTTACTTGTATCGATAAATTGTAGTATGTATCAGATTCTATTTATTGTACGTTGGGTGGATACATTAGATTGTTTCATAATGTTTAATATTTGAAAGTTTTAATAAACGAAAGTGAAAATGAACATATTACGTTTTCCTACATTTTCCTTTAACCAAGTGTAAAATACAATCTGTTTGATCTTGAAACGAGGAAGATTTTTGTGAGACAATCTAATGATAGAGCCAGAAAAAGTTTATGCCACAATGGTGTTTCCTTCGAGATATTTATATACTCAAACGTTAGTAAATTTCTTAGATAGAACTTTAACGAACTTATAAATCTTTGTCCCTCAATGTATTACAATGTCTTACGATTTTCATTGATCCTTCTCAAAGAATCAAAGGAAAAGTAAAAAATGTTTTTTTCTTCTTTTTTTTTTTTTTCTTCTCGTAATATTCTCTCTACTCTGTACTTCTGTACTCAACAACTATCCCTATCTATTTCAATATATTTATAGAAACAGAAGATGATTAAATTAACGGTAAAAATCGTTACGTAAATCGTTATAATGTTACATAAATATATCTTTATTTTTTAAATCACTCTTCATTTTTCCATCATTCCAAATGAAATCAAATATTTTGTTTCCACGATAGAATACGCATACGTTGTGAAACGACCAGACGATGGTTGTATAAGTCAACAGGTCGTACAAAATGCCTGATATAATTCAATGAGGATTATATAGTATATTCGAATAAGGCTGAAGTGTAAGAAAATCGTACTTATTAAATCGTATTAAATTGAATTGAATGTAAGAAAAAAAATTGAAAAAAAAAAAAAAGAAAAAAAAGAAGAAGAAGAAGGAAAGATCGGTGGATATCACACGTCAAACAAAGCGAGAAGAAAAAGAACGCTATTATTGAAAAGAAAAAAAAAAAAAAAAAAAATAATCATACATATTAATATATAATAGATATTATATTATTATTACTAAATATTATATTAATATATGAATGCTATATATTAAATATTTCTATTATGTCCGTCTGCAAAGTCTATTAGAAGAGTCTATCCTGTCAACCTATTCTTGCGACCCATGTGGATCTCCTCGAATATATATGTATATACATATATGTAAGTGTGTGTATGCATGTATGTATGCATATAGAATGGTCGAAAATGAATTTTTCATATTTCGATGCTGCAAAAAAAAAAATAAAAAAATAAAAAAAAAAAGGGGGGACAAAAATTGAAAGAGAGAGTAAAAGTAAAAGAAAAGATGACGAAAGAAACGAGCACACATCACAAACGAGACGTTTGATATATCGAAAGTAAAATTAAAAAAAAAAGAAAAAAAGAAAAAAAAAAAAAAAACGGGGAATAAACGATTCTCTCGTTCTCTCACTTTGGGGGAAAAAAATTACTATTCGTGTAGAATAATTTCAATGATGATTAATCGTGCGAAGGAGCTTATCGAAAATCTGATCGTATCACGCAATTGCGCACAGAGAATCACTTCATTAGAATCGTGCTATCGTGACACTTGTGACATCTTAGGTTTATAACTTTTTGCATCGTTGTATTATATTCTCGAGAAAGGAATTAT